GCGGCGGCCGGCTGCCAGCGCGCGCGTGAGGCGCCGGCACCACGTGACGGGGGCGTGTGGGGCAGCGAGCGGCGCGAAATCCACATCCGGGTGAGGCCGCGCGGGGCGGGAGGGCGGCGGGGGGGCCTTTTCCCGGGGGGGCAGAAGCCGCTCCTCGCCCTCCCTCCCTTCTAGAGCCTGCCCACCCGCGCCGAATAGCCCTGGCAGGGGAGGCAGGCGCCGTTCCCAGCCCTGCCTTGCCCTCACCGGGGGTGCGGGCCGCCGAGCTGGGCCGTGCCGGTAGGGCCGGTGCCGGTAGGGCCGGTGCCGGTAGGGCCGGTGCCGGTAGGGCCTGGCCGCAGCAGGGGGTTGTCGCTGCGAGGCCTTGCTCCTCCTTCTCTGGGGGTGCCCCCGGGTCCCCACAGCTGCGGCTCCCCGGTACGGCCACCCTTGTGCCGTGGTGGCTGTTCTTAGGGATGTGACTCACGGGTTGCTGCGGAGAGACTCGAATTGTAGTTTAGAGGAAGAGCAGGAGCTTTCCTTCCCTGCGCCCAGACCATTGCCACCCCCGGCAACAGGAAGGAGAACCTTGTGAGCAGTTCTCTAGCCCAGAGGTTTGGAAACCTCAGCTAGGACTTCTCTGCTTCTGAGGCCAAACTGCGTGGCCAAATTTTCAAACACTGTCCGGAACCTTAAGCTGTGGTGAAATACCTAGTCGGATTTTTCAGTGTTGTCTGCGTGCCCAGTATCTGTTACTCTAAATGCAGTTAGGTGTTGGACGTCTTTCTTGAAAATCTGTCTGAATCATTAGGCATCTAAAACATTTTGTGTAAATCAGGTCTTTAAACATTTTAGCTTTTGAGGCTTCTCATAATAGAATTGTCTGTCCTCTTGATACCCCAGCACCTGAGCTTAACCTACTCTGGGACATTCCTTTGATGAACTCTCTCTGCAGCTTCGGTTCTTAGGAGGCTACAGTTTATCTTATAAGCAATTTTCCCTTCCTATCTTAACAATTATTTTTGCCTATCATCTACACATCGTGAATGCATTTCTTGCCATCTTACTGCAGCATTTTAGTGAAGCTTTAGGTAGTTTTTGTCACTGCTTGAACACCTGTTTCTGTAGACTTGCTTAATTGTTTTTGTTCTCAGCACTTTCTGGCTGTTTTGCTTTTACCTGATCTGATTTTGCTCTTCTGCATCCATTTCTTTAACTTCGGTCTGAGTGCCTCCGTATCCGTGGCTTGGATGTCTGTGTAAGTGTTGGTGCTCATGTTCTAGTACTTCACTTTTTTTCTTCAGGGCTCTCGGGTTTCTCAGTCACTAATAGAAGCAGCAGACTGCTGACCATTTTCAAACAGAGTTTGCAGGGTAGACGACATCTGTTAACAAGTGCAGTAGTGAACTGCATGCTGGTGGGATTTGAAAGAGGCAAATCACAGCATTAGTCAAACAGGTGAGGCCTGGGTGCTCAATAAACAGTAGATAATCCTAGAGTCTTTTTCAGAACCTCTTAAAGATATTCTTGAGAATCTGGTGCAAATTTATTTTACACTGTTTTGAAAGGAATACGATTAAATGTGGGAGACTAGGAGAGTAATTTATGTGCTGTGTGCCTCAACATGTCTTTGTGAATAACTTCACCAGTAACGCCTTCTGCTGTTAGTCTGGGACGTCACAGCCTCCACATGCTGATTCCTTCTGCCTTAAAGCTGAGATGATATTTTACTGTAGCTCATCTGAGGAGGTATGTGGATTTTGTACACAGCAAATTGAGACAATGGAAGTTAAAAGAGAGTCTGTCACCTTTGGACACGTTTTCTTTTTATCCAAATCGTTATTCTGACCGTAGCTATAATTAAGTTTAAGGCTTCATTCCATTTTAATTCTACCTGGAGATAGAAATTACTGAAAACTGAGTATACCTGGTGACACATTTACATCTGTGATGTTCGTACATAAAACTCCGTAAGGATTTTGACACATATTGGTCAGTCAGTGCCTCACTAGAACTCTCAATGCAGTTTAAGTACTTTTGCATTTAATTACTTGCTCCTTGATTGCTTTCTGCCTGTCTTTGAAAATCATGGACTGTTAGACCAGCTCCTTCACGTTTCTTTCCAAGTGACACAACTACTGCCAGAGCTTGGTGAAGAATATACGTTGTCTAGACAATGTTAGCTGTTTATGTGGTGTCAGACTGACGTTCAGGATGATGATAGCTACGTAGATTTGTTGATTCCAAAATACAGTTATGCTATAGTGCATATTCTGGTCCAGAGGAACAATTGGATCGCAATCATAAGGGCAATAACTGGCATTCTCCAAATGTTTACAGAGCTGCTAAGACATCTAAGTATGGTGTGTATCATAGCAGTTGGCCTGATTCCTCCTGGCTTACAGAAAACCAACTTCCAGGAAAGCTTGCAATACCAAATGGAAAAAAAAAAAAAAAAGTTTGTGGTATGATGGAAACAAGCTTGTGTTTTTTGTTTTTTTTTTAGAATCGTTTTAGTGTAGAGTTCACAACACCTTCTAGCCCGAGTCCGTTCAGGTTCGCAAGGTGCTTGTTTCAGTCTGCGATGGTCTGATACGCTTGGGAGTTTTGTAATCTGCTAGTGTCCATTTGTGCAGATTTTGACACTTAAATGCCCTTACATTTTCTTCCTGCTTCTGTAAAACTAATTTGATCATCATAATGAAGGAAAAAACCTCTTGTTTTAAACCAATCTTGATACCTTTTCAGATTTTTTTTCTTGTGTGTGGGTCTTTTTCTCTACCACACTAGAGGTTTCAGGCTGCAGATGGTGTAAATTTTAAATCATGCAGACTAAATCTGCCTTCAAGCGCATTGGGAGTGGTAGATTATCTAAAAAGTGTTGCAAGGTGACTTTCAGACATTGTATTTTAACATCTGTCACATTTAACTAGTTTGTTACTGTGATATTTATAATCATAAGGATACATCAGAAATTCAAGCTTGGGGGGTGGTTTTCTGTTTTGGTCATCTCGCTCTGCTGAAAACTTCTGTGGAAATAATTCTTGTTTGTGTTAGGAAAAATAAACACCTCAAATTTTAAGGTTGGACTTAGTTTTTCTCATTTTCTCTATTGCAACCTTAATCTTCCTTTATCCCTTGGTGTCCCTTAAGCAATGGTACCTGCTCACCAGACCTGAGTCTCCAGAAGTGGTGCAATTTGTACGGAAAGGAATTAAGTGATTTGTAATTTTCTTAATGTAGAATAACACAATATCTAGACTTTCTTAATATACAGTAAGATTCACATCCTTTCTTCCTGAAGAGTTTTGGGATTGACCAACATGAAGAATTCTGCTTTTCTGACATAGCAGTCTTTTTTCCTTTACATTGTTCAGTTGACAGATTTATTTGTTGGAGTGGCTGAAATTAATTCCAGGAGTTCTGTGCACTTTTTCGATGAAATCAAGGCTTAAACATGTGAATTCCATTACAGGGTATGGTTGGAGAAGCAGAATTACGTATCCATAAATTTCTTTTAAGCAATCACAGAAGACCTTTTGAATTAAAAGAAAGCAAATTAAAGTTATTACTTTACTTGTACTTGTTTGTTGAAGTGGTGATTGATATTCCTCAAGAGGTTTTAAAGGATGGCATTTTTATAGAACTCCTCTGCAGTTTATTTAGCAGCTGGATCTGCCATCTGCCTGCCTTTGCGTACATGAGGCTCATATTTGCTATCGATCATATTGTTACAGGTACTGTTTAGTAAACTTTTCAAGTCTTTGAAACAGAGCTAGAAGAATGGATGTAATATTTTTAAAGATGGTTTGGATCCTCAGAAAGAAAAATGTTTCTCATGCCTGTATAATGCCTATATAAGAAAAGCAGGTTTTGCTATTTGTTATTAAAGGGATCACAATTCAGTTGTGTCTTTCAGGGAAGAATCTGGAAATGGCTTTAGTTTAAGTCGCTAATTTCATTCGATATAAAATATGTCTTCTCTTATACTTGCTCAACATTCTAAGTTTCAGTTTTAAGAAGATTAAGCATGTTCAAACTATAGTGCTAACAGTAAAAAAAAAAAAAAGATCTAAAACCTCAAGCAGTTTATGGAAGACTGGCTTTAAAAACCTCCACTTACTTAAAGCAATAAATTCTGATTTTTAAGGTTCCCACTAGCAACTCTGGTAATTGTTTTAGAATGCAATGTTTTCAACTGTTCGGCACTTTTCTCAATCAAAGAACTAAATTTGAACGTTTTAGCCAATTTTTGTGGATCTCCTTATCAACATATGGCATTGTAGTATTCCAGTATTAACTAGTCAGGTGAGTTTTCAGGTACAGGGAAACCTAAGTCAGGTCTTGTACAATTCTTCCACCTTCAGGATTATTGCATCTCGTATTTCAGTGCAGTCCTTCTGGAAAAGGTGGCAGGTTTTTGTGGACATATGTAAGTTAATTTTAGGTGACTATGCAACAGTTGTGGTTGGGGCTTTTTGTTTGTTTTAGGATAAAGTTACAATAATTATGCTGGTAGCAGAGGTAGTTCCATGTTGTGATTTTTTGCTTCAATTCATCTTCCCTTTGGATCATAAGGCTGTAGTAGATACTGTACTGGGCAAAGCAATCTGGACTGGAGAGTAGATTGCTTGTAGTCCATGGAATACAGTTGGAACTAGCACTAAGGGCTGAAAATATTAAAAACTATTAAGAAAGAAAGGATATAGGGTATGCAAACACATGTTAAGGTACAAAACAAAACATCCAAATCCAAATTCTTCCACTTGAAAAATGTGATTTCAAGGTTGCAGCCCTGTATGGATTACTAGAGCTGTTGCTTTTACTTCAGTAAAGGACTTAAAAAGGGATTTAATGTGATGTGTTATTTCTATAAAAACAGCTCACAGTGGCATTACCACAGAGAATATCAATGTTTGAGTATGCTTATTGGTTGTGTTTCAGTTTGTGTGTGTATGTATTCAAGAATCATGCTCTGATTACGAAGTATTGGGTTCTTAAGAGCTGTTGTATGGCACCACAGCCAAAGGCACTCTGGTCTTTTGATCTGAATCGAAGCAGAAAAATAGACAATTTGCAATCATCTGTTTTAAGTGACAACGTGTATGAAAATGTAATGAACATTTCATACTTCAGTATGAATAATATGAGCTGACAGGCGTGTCCTCTGAGGAGTGGCCAAAGATTCTGGGTTTGTCTAGTTTGGAGAGAAGGAGGCTGAGGGGGGACCTCATCGCTCTCAACAGCTTCCTGAGGAGTGAAATGGGAGAGGGAGGTGCTGAGCTCTTCTCCCTGGGATCCGGTGCCAGGACGTGTGGGAATGATTCAAAGCTGCACCAGAGGAGGTTTAGACTGGACATTTCTTTATCGAGAGAGTCATCAGACACTGCAACAGGCTTCCTAGAGAGGTGGTCGATGCCCCAAACCTATCAGAATTTGAGGCATTTGGACAATGCTCTTAACAACATTTTTAAACTTTTGGTGAGCCCTGAAGTGGTCAGGCAGTTGGGTTAAATGATCATGGTAGGTCCCTTCCAACTGAAATCTATTCTATGAACACTCTGGGGAAGAGATGCAGCTCTGGGTGAGGATACTGAATAAATGTGAATTGAAGGGGATGACAAATATTTGCCCCAGTCTATGGATTTTTCAAGAAAATAACAGCTGGAGACTTACTTGCTGTTGCACGTGTTCTTTTGGGCACACTGAAAGAAGGTAGGAGAAATCTGTAAGAAGGTGAGCAGGTTTAGAGACTCTTCATCAGTTGTTCTCTACCCAGAATAGGTACCTGCTGGCTGGGAAAATCTCACCATTAATCCTTGCTGAGGTTGGGGCTTGTGTTTCCCTGGTACTGTTTGGGGCTTTCATTGTGTACAGAGCATCTCTGTCGTGAACTATCCCCTGAGCCTGGCTGCAGAGGATTACTGTTACTGTCTGTAAAGGCTATTTTTAAAGTACTAAGTGTATTCTTAAAGATTGTGGCATGTAGGTGCCTCCTACAAACGAAGAATTGGTCTCCTGCATTCTCTGCCCACAAACTTACACGAGACATATCTTCTGTAATGCTGAAAAAGGCCTAAAACTTTGGAAATTTCAGTGTATAAATGGGGTTTCTTCTGGCTTTAGGTGAGCATCTGAAGGGAATGGTAACATCAGGGCAATGTGATTCTGCATTATATGATTATATAAACTGATCCCAGTTTGATTCAGGTTGTGTGATAAATAATGAAAAATATAAAGGACTCAGTGTGGTTACTTTTTTTTAAAAGTCTGGTGGATTTTGGTTTTCAGTTTGTTATTGTAGAATTTGTACTTACTGTCACTGTTTCCAATATGCTTTGCTAATGTTTTTATCAATCATCAATGTTACTAATAAAATTAATGAATTAATGAAATGTAAACCCCCAAAAATGTAAATATTAATTTTATTAAAATGTATTTTTTTTTTTAGCTAAATGTAAAAAAAAAAATTAAAAGGTTTTGCCAATTGACAACCTCATTAAAACTTTAGGACTCGTGTTAGAAAGGTGAAGGGTACAGAATGTAATTAGCATTTAACAGCCTGTGGAGATAGGACAAAGCATTAGTGGGATCATGTCATCATGGTCTTCATGCAGGTGGTCTTCTGAAAAATAATTAAGGGATTTAAGTCTTTCTAAAAGTCTTTGTTTTCTAAATTGATTTTTTTTTTTTTGTATTTCTGATGCTCCCTGAGTGTTTATAATATAGTTGTGATGAAAATGTTCTCAGCATTTAAAACATTATGTTACTGCAGAAGGTATAAATGTATCTCTATCAAATGGAAGTTCTTTTTTACGGAATAGAATGACTAATTTTATATTGGAATTTTGTCAGTGTGTTATGTTCATAGGGTGAGAACAGATAATAATATGATTTTTATAAATAGATTGGGTTGTATTTGTTGTTGTTGTTGAAACAGATCTTTATCTTCTTGTAGGTATACCTTTTGCCTTGTTTTGGTTCAGCAGCCCTTGTTTGGAAAGTCTGGATTTCAGAAAGGCAGTGTTTTTACCTAAGGACTTTCAAAGTCAGTTTTCATTCCTTTTCCATATTAGATTTGTGATTACTGTATGAGTAGTAGTAAGAAAATGGAAACGGTTTCATCTGTGATGTGGCAAGAACTTGTGGCCAATGACAGTCCTGTTTTTTTTTTTTTTTTTTTTTCTTTAAATGTGGTAGGAAAAACTTTGTGCTTCACTTCTAGAGGATTTACAGAGTGACTTTAGGAGAAATATTTGCTCAGACGGTGATGACTTTAGAAAATATCTTCACTACTGACAGCATGTTAATTTTTTAAGGTAAAATTGGTGATAATGAACATACAGTTTCTTTTTTTACAAAAAAGCAAAACAGACTACATGCATTTTGATCTGTTAGCACAAACCACTGGTTTTTATTTGATGTCCTTCTGAATTTTTCTGGAAGTGTTGCAGCTTGTATGTTTTTTACTAAAAATGTTTATGATGATCTTCTTAAGGGGTAAGGTTAGGGAGATCAGAATGCCTTAGGAAGATACTGATATGGGGGTCTAGAATCTGTCCCTTCCAAATCAGTGGTCCAAATTCAGTCCAGCTTGTTAGCAGAGAAATTATTTTGTGTAGAATGAGCTGGGGAGTTGAGCAGGTCACACACACCTGTCATTTCCATTTGTGTTAATGCTGAACTGCAGTTTTGTCAGTAGCTGTAAAATAAATTTAAAATTTCAGGACTGGCTCTTTGGTGTTCTTTTATCTTTGAGTGTTTTTTTGGCTTTGTGGGTTTTTGTTTTTTTTTTTTTGGGGGGGGGGGGGGGCATGGAATGTAACTTTTCCATAA